CCAAGGACTTCTCAGTTTCCCAAGCTCTGCCAAAGAGCAGGTGCACAAGAGGAGACATGACCTGAACAGCTAACCCAAAGTGGCCAAAGGGATAATCCACACTCCATTTATAAACTGTGGCAGTTGGCCAGGAGTCACTGATTTGTTTTGTAGATAAAGGCAATTTTTTTTCCTGGTCAGGACATTGTGATGATCGCTGGATTCACCTCTGCCTCTCTATCATTAAATGGCTTTGAGCCTAAGGCAAGAGGTAGAAAGTTTCATCGCACCATGACTCAGAAATCCCTACAAACTTGCAAGCCAGAGGACAGGCTACGGGGGACATTGTACCCAGAAGAAAAAAGGATGGGCCAAAGAATTTCCCTGCTTTAGTGCCGGTCCAAACCTTCTCCCAAGCCCACTGTGCCACCCCCAGGGGTTGCCCTTCAGTAGGGCTGTTCAGGATGGGGAGAGCAGAGGAGGATCCCATCCTCACACCCCTTCAGTGGCACAAGGAAGATCAAGAATAAGACAGCAAGGCACCAGCCACCAGCACTGGGCACCGAGGCTGTGGGAAGGCACAGCACTCCCAGCCAAGCCTCCAAGAGCTGTAGGGTGGTGTAGGTGCCTTTGCAGGTGCAGAGAGTTCACAGCCCGCCGCTTCAACACAAGGCTGGCAGACTGCGTCAGCAGGGACCTGGCTGAGCTCTCACCAGCACTCAAGAGCTTTATGAATAAGGCAGATGTGAATAATAGTTAGTCTCCTGGGAAACTGCTATTCTAAAGCTCTCTCTGTGTGTCCACATGCAGTTTCTAGGTCAGTCTACTTAGAGGACTAAGACGTCCCTGGAGCTCTTGAAACAACGGAGTGCACACACAGGTCATAGCTCAGTGCTGTGCAGATGTACCTGTTCACATCCCAGGGCTGTACAGCTTCATCCAGCTGTTGCTAAGCCTAGCATAAGCTCCCTACTAGGTAGCTTCAGTGCACAATTGTAGCCTGAAATTTGGAACAAGCAGACAAGTCTGTAGCTGGCAATGATACCGTGGTCTTGTAGAGTGATCTATTCATGACTTCTGTAGCAGTTCATAGCCAGACTTTTTAAAACGTGATCTACCCAAACTGCATCCAAATTCATCTTGAAGTTTCACATTTAATATGCAAATATTTAAGACTCCCCCTAATAAAATATTCATAAAATATCCTGAGTTGGAAGGAACCCATCAGGATCATTCTAGCCCTGCACAGGACACTCCAAGAATCCTGTGCCTGATAGTGTTGTCCAAATGCTCCTTGAACTCTGTCAGGCTTGGTGCTGAGACCACTTCCCTGGGGATCCTGTTCCAGTTCCCAGGCACCCTCTGGGTGAAGAACCTTTTCCTGATATCCAGCCTAAACTCTGCCCAACACAGCTTCATGCCATTCCCTTGTGTCCTGTCACTGGTCACCAGAGAGGAGAGATCAGTGCCTGCCAGATATAAAAACCGTGTTTGTAACAGCTAGTGGTGGCTATTTAATATATTCATTGAAGCAATTAGAGGTTTGTGCTTTTCAGAAAACTGAGATTTTTGACGTCTCTGGAATGTCGCAGCACTTTTTCTATAAGAAGGGTGGAAGTAAATAAAGACAGTTTGGAAATGGTGTCTGATATCCTTTGAAAATGCCAGAGACACAATGGAATTGCTATTCCTGAAGTTACAGGACATTACTATATTTTAAGCAGCTGCCTTTTCATTTCCATCAGCCAAGAGGAGAAATTCATCCCACAATGACAGGAGAAGAGGTGGGCTGCCCTGCAGTTAGAAATAACACCAGCCAAAGCTGAAGTTACTTTCTTCTGTGCAGGAGAAATTTGTCATCTTTTCCTTGCGTGATCACAGTGTGCTTCGAAGAGTTGTCCTCCTTTTATGTGTAAAAGCAAGAGGTGGTTTCAAGGATTTGATTTCCCCTGAGTGCTATTCAGAATAGCACAAGCTGCAAAATACATCATGGCACTGTCTGTGTTCGCTTGCAAGGTCTCTGCATCTTTTTACACAGAGAAAATGTATAAAACACTGGGAAAACACACAAAACACCTTTTCTTGGGCTATGCAGATCTCCTGCAATGAACAGCTGTTCAGTGCCTTGTGCAACACATCCCAAATGTAAAAGATATCAAAAGCTCCAGCTACAGCAGGCAAACACACACCAAATGGAAAATTGAAGATAATCTCCACCCTGTACACGTGTCTCATTTTATCCACACTCAGATCCTCCCTTCACACCCACCAAGATGGCATCTGAATGCAGTTTATGCACCAGTGGCTGTATTAGAATCTTAAAAGAACCTTCTGGTCTGCAAGAGAGATGGGGTAGAATGGAAAAATACCTACGAAGCCTAGGTGCCCAAAATAAATTGCCCAGAGCATAATATTTTTGGAGTATTCTGCATCATATTGCACTTGGTGTACACAGAACACAAACCCCCCACTGATGATGGCAGCACTGGTGAATGCCAAATGTCTGTCCAGAATCCCAAATCAGACATGAAGAAAATGAAAAATAGCTAATTATTCAAAATTACGCTGTACCACATTAAGCACATTGTAGCACACACAGAGAATGATGTACAGTTTCCAAGGACACCATTTCCAGGGCTTTAATCATGTCCTCCTCTTCCACGCTGTCCAAGTCTCTCTGAGACTTGTACCTCTGCTGGCCACCAGCCACCAGTTCATTCCTGGACAGCCTGCTGAAGTTCACTGTCCAATCTATCTCTTCTTTTCCTTTTATCCATTCCATCCCTCCTGTTCCTTTGATTCAAATCAAACAGCTTTGACTTCTTGCATCCCCCCCTTGTGCCCAGATTCAGGATTGAGCAGAGCCTGGAGCAGAAAGGTTTGCCACCCAGTGCAGGGGTGCAGGATGCAGAGCTGTAACTGCAGGAGCCTCACTCAGACTCACCAGCAGCATTTGAGAGGCCATTTGAGGATTTTGTCTACTGGAGTTACAGCAGTGTTCTTCATGTATAGCAGGATGACAACTGCGCTCAAAAACTGTGAATCTTAAGATGTTTCATTTAGCTTCAGAAGGGACATCTTACTAAGGTACTCAGCAATCTCAGACATTTATTTGCTAGTAAAGTGCTGGATTCTGCTGCCACTGGAATGGGGAGCATGGTTCACAAGCTCTGCTCAATTGGGAAAGAATAGAATAGAATAGAATAGAATAGAATAGAATAGAATAGAATAGAATAGAATAGTTCATTTTCAAGGGTCCTGCAATGATCATCCACTTCAACTCCCTAAACAATTCAGGGCTGATGTGTTGCAAGTGTTGAGGGAGGAAATGGGACTTGGTGTAAGGGGTCAAAGAAGACAGGAGGAAAGATTTAACTCTGGAGAACAGTGACACAAAATATTCTGACTCCAGGGGCATTGATAAAGGGCAGTAAAATAGCACTGGATTCACAGTAAGAACTTGTGCAAGGGCAGGTTAGCTGCAAGGAGTGGTAGATATTTCAGTCTCTTTAAATACTGAGGTGTGAAAACTCTGCACAAGGCTTAAAATTATTTCAGAACTGTAAGTTTATTACAGGACACTGAGAAAAACATCTTCACTTTTTTTTTTTTTCCATTTATAACAAGATTAAGTTTATTACAGGACACTGAGAAAAACATCTTCACTTTTTTTTTTTTTTTCCACTTATAACAAGATATTTCTCACTTCATTGCTGAATGCTGCAAGTTAAATGTGGAATGGGTCACCCTGGTGTGATGTTCAAGCTAATTTCCACAGCACAAAGAAATATTGTTTTTCTGTGCAATATAAGGTACAGTTTTTGGAACACCATTTTTTTTGGTTATTCAAGCCCATATTTTCTTCTGCTAAGAACATTAAGTTCTGAAATCTGCTTCAGACACTTGCAGTCATGAATTTTCTTAGCCACTCCAAACAGGACACATCTAAGCTATCCTTAAATGCACCAAAATTGTACAATCACCAGAGGATAAGTTGCAGGCTAATATTCATTTTTATTACTTGCTATCAGAGATACCATCTCTTCTCTCAAAGCAGTTAATTTATGAACTGATTTCAGAGAGCTAACTTCTTAGTTGGAATGAAATGTCCCAAATGTCTGAAGTGACAAGTACACAGGTGCTTTACAAGGTAAGAGAGCAAGGTAAAGGCAAAGCTTCAAAGGCAAGTTAAAAATTCAAATTGTGTGATCCTCTAGCTGTAACTTGACAATGATGAAAAGATGTTTTGATAAAAGGTTCTAGTCCAAACCCACAGTAGCACTTAATTATCCATTCTCCAACTGTGAATGTTATGGCCAACTTTTTGTTTGGTTATCTATTTGAAGAAAAAACACCTATTTACTTGAAGAATAGACATCTGCTTTTCTTCACATCTATCTTAGAATAAGTGCCTGTGATGTAAGAGGCTCTTATTTATCAATGTCTATCATATCCTCCACTTCTGTAAGTGTATTTACACACACACACACACACACACACACACACAAAATAAATTATGGAATAGATCTGTTCATTCATTCTGAACAGGTCTTGACTTTTCAGACCCCAGTTCAGAAGAATGCTTTCCTACCCATTTACACTGGATCTCAGCAGCCTAGCAACACCTCAACCAAATCCATGTTGCTACAAGGAGACTCAGGAAAGGGGAAGGGAGATCTGATGTGGTGAGACTGTTGTTTAAGTACAAGCAAAACACAAAGTCGTAGTTCTAAAAAGGCTTAGTCATGCAGGAAACAGTAACCACATGCAGGGAACCCCATCCTGCGAGCCAGTCCAAAGTCACCTTGACAAAGACAAAAGTTCCTTCCTGGGAAGAGTTTACTTTCTCCCCTCTAGGGTCTCCCCACCATTGTCACCAGCCTGCATCAAGCATGCAGCTCTTTCACACTGCCTCCTGCAGAACCTCCTTCTTGGTTTTATCACCTGATGTGTGGCCAGGGCTTCACATCTTCCCACCATTTTAGCTCTTGCCAAATCCATGTGCAGACCAAGGCCACCGTTCAGCTCACAGCTACTATTGGCTCAACTGCAGAGATGTCTGTCTTTCCTGACTGGATGGTGGAGGATGGTGGAAGGACATGGGAGGCCCGCAGCCTCTTGAAGTTGCCGTTTTCTGACCAAGCCAGTCGGTAGGATGGTACTGTGGAGGGAAGCTTCTGCTCCGTGGGCCTGGGGGGTTTTCTGCACATGCTGAGCAAAGCCTTTAGCTCCGATCGGAAGCTGTCATTGAGCCAGCAGTAGATGAAGGGGTTGTAGCAGGTGCTGCTCATTGCAAACCAGTGGAAGGCGAAGTACAGGGCGTTGTTGGTGTGGATGGTCTGGCTGGAGAGGAGGACGACGTAGCAATTCAAGGGGAACCAGCAGACTGCGAAGAGGACGACAACGAGCATCAGCATCTTGATGGTCTTCTTGTTCTTCTTGCGAAGGACGAAGTACTGCTCCACGGTGACGTCCCCGATGACGTTGCGCAGCCAGAGCTTCTTTGCCACTGTCACGTAGGCAGCGGAGATGATCAGAAGGGGCAGGACATAGAGCAAAATGAAGGTTGTTAAATCAAGGTACTTCCAAAAGAGGTCAGCGGGCTCAGGGAAATCTGGCAGACACAGGCACCGGGTAACATCCTCACTGCAAACGGAGAGACAGGACAGGATGAGAGGCACATATGGCCGGGCACGGCGGGATAAGTACATCAGAAACAAGGAGGCAGCTGGGAGAGCGCTCCTGCCACAGGGCCTGAAAGCAAACACTGTGTTTATCTCACAAATGTCACAGCTGAGCAGAGCACTGCTCTTCAAGGATCTAAGCCATGGAGCAGCCAGTGAGCAATGTGGTGATAATTTCTTATGGGCATTCATGACCTTATGATAATTTTATGAATTTCATCAATTACAAAATTTCCAGCTGCACATAAGTAGTTTTTTATTTTCTGTCCTTTGGCGAATAGGAACATTGTCTGCACATATTAAGGACCTTTCCCTCATTAAAGCACTTTCCAAATACTAAGGGTCTTGACAGCTGAGACCGATTTATCTATTTTCCTAGGGCTAAAGAGTAGATTAAAACCTACTGGGTTTTAGTGTGTTTCTGTTTGGTTGGTTGGTAGGTTGGGTTTTTTATTTCCCATTTCTGGTCTGCCCAAACAGGCCAGGTTGCTATATGGCATAAGATGCCAGTGTATAGAAGTAAAGGGTCAAGCCAGATCCTCTAACTTCTTAGCCTGTTTTGTGTGGTTAGTGGGACAGAATAAAGATAAAATGTTTAAGAATGAAAAGGACAGGATATTAGACATTGCAAAAGGAATCAGATGAAAATTGTAGTTTAGATCCATGTTTGGCTGACCTTGATATATGCTTAAGATTTTTAGTAGAATGTACCAAAGTATGGCTGCTCAGAGCTTGGCTTCCAGGGAGACTGTGGAGGAAAGCAAAGCACATCCTCACCTGTATTCAAAGGTAAAGAGCTTCTGGTAGATAGCATGTGGTAGGGAAAAACAAGTTGCCATGATCCAGATTACACAGATGTACATAACACCTTTTCCAGTAGATATGCGAGGTTTCAGGGGGTGCATTATAACCTGTACAAAATAAACCAAAATCTAGGCTTATTACATTTCTGGAAAAAATTACACTTTTTTTTTTTTCATTTTCATATGATCTTCCAGCCTGAAATCTATTACTTCTTGTGGCAATTTAACATGCAAGCAGTACAGTCTTCACCCAGCTCCCAATGACTGTAAGCTGTACATAAAAACCTTAATTTTAACACCATGAAATATGGTTCAAGTTAGATCCCAGTCCTATCCTCAAATTTCAGTACTTTCATCTAGTACTTTTCCCACTTTCAGGCGGGAACATGTGTTAACAGCTCCTGGTATGCAGTTTTTCAAAAAAAAAAAAAAAAAAAAAAAAAAAAAAAAAAGTGGAGAAAAAATTTTCAAACTCTTCAGTATCAGTGACCCAAAGAACCAAAGGGTTTAACCAGACCTCCATGGGAATGCTTCTGATAGTGAGTGCATTTTCTGGAAACAATCTTTCTAGCAGAAAATGCCAACTGTAAACAGTTTTGGGTGGTTTTTGGGTGACTCCAAGCTGATAATACCCAAATGTCCCCAGCTTTGAGCCCATTATCAACAGCAAGCTACAGCTCTGCTTGTGACAAACACCAGTGTGCTACAGTCAGATCTCCAGTATTCAGGGTGACAGGAGGTAGGACATCCCAGAACATCAGGAGATAGAGCTGAGAAAGTTAACCAGGATGTCCCTTACAACCCTGGTGCTGGACAAACCACCACAAAGGAGAGCTTTCCACATGATTTCCTATCAGGATCTTGACCTTTCTCCTTGTTTGAGAGCTTCTGCATAAAATTATCTACTGCATAAAAACTCTCTTTACTCAGCTGGAAGAGATAGCAAGGTGATGGAAACCTCCTTCCTTCCTGTGGGCTTGAAACTATTCTGACAAAAAGAACTGTCCCCCTGCCCTGTCAGCTCCTCATGAATCTTATGGTACTCTGGGAGCTGAATGGGAAAGGACATGGGATCATCCTTTCTCAGTTTACTTATGCCCTCCCAAGCTTTCCACCTCTCTGCTTCAGAGAGGTCTCACCTGGTGCCTGTCCACAGCAATGGCTGTAAGGGTCAAGGCAGAGACGTGGAGGGAGCAGTACTGTGCAAACCTACTGACATGGCACATCCCCTTCCCAAAGATCCAGGTACTGTTCACAAAACGAGCCTAAAAAAGAAGACCATTAGTTGTGTGCTCCCCATATCTGCTTATAGGTACACCTCCAGTACACAATTCCTTGTGCTGTGTAAAAGACACTTATAAGATAGCAGGTTCTTTGTATAATTGTATAATTTTCTGGCTTCTGAACACTGAAGAGGCAGGTTACTGCTGCTCAGTGGCCTCCCCAACAATACAGCAGTGCTTTGCAAAAAGGTGTTTGTTCTATTTACAGTGTACCCTTCTGCAGCCTCACTATTGAGTCAATACATTTGTTCTTCCTTTTAATCTCCATTCACGAGATAGGGCTGACCTGTACACCTCATCTCACTTCAAGCAAACTACACGTTTTCAGAACAGCTTGTTAAATGATGCTAAGCATTCACTTTTTTCAAGAGGTTTATAGCATTGCTTTCAAAATACTTTAGAAAAGAGAAGAAGAAGAAAAAAAAGATCAGATGCTACAAAGTACTAAGTAATCACTGCAAGGCTATTATTGCTCAAGTACTATCAGGGCCACATTTAAAAAATGGGCAATTTCCGATCTTCAGCTAGATAACAGGAATCAGAGAGGAAAAACACAAGTGGGGTTTTCCAAAGGCAACTCCAATAGCTGTAATTTGGAGTGGATATGTATCTGCAGAACATCCACACAGCGCCTATAGCAGTGTAAAGCAGGAAAAGACACCAAAGCACCTTTATGGCACTGCAGAGGCCCAGAGAAATTTACTTTAGTCACGGGGTGGGTTCTGGTGGAGCATCCCCCCCTCCCCGGGCTGCACCACGCCCGAGAATGCTGAGGTGCTTCCTGTCCCTCCGGGGTGGGGCATGCCAGGCACCTCTGCCCCTCTTACCAGCGTGAAAGGCGTGTTGAGCAGCGTGATCATGATATCGGCGACGGCCAGGTTCACAATGAACAGGCTGGTGGCGGAGTGCACGCGCTTCGTCTTGATGACAACGTGACACACCAGGACATTGCCGAAGAGGGCGAAGACGATGATGAAGGAGTACGCCGCGATGAGCAGGGCTTTCACCGTGGGGCTCTGCGACTCCGCTCCGTAGCGGCTCCTGCCCACAAAGCTCTGCCAGTCGGCCAGGCTGTCATTGTCCCAGGAAAAGAAACCCGACACGTTTGGGACTGCAAAAGTCTTCTCCAGGCTCCCATTGAGGCGCAACTTTCCTGGGGTCACAAAGGCGTTAGCCAAGTCGGGGAGGGCGAGCCAGACAAAGCAGGATAACATCTGTGCTCTGCTCCTGCGGCTCCGGAAGAAGAGCTCATTCGCGGGAGCAGCGCCCGCTCCGTGCTCCGGCAGAGCCGCTCTCGCCTCGCTCAGCCCTCGGGGGCTGCGAACACGGCACACGAGCAGCAGCAGCGGGGAGATGCTCCTGCTCCCGCAATGGGCTTCTCTCCCGCTCCGCTCGCCGCTACTTTTGCTCCTTCAGCCAGCTTTATATCCCCTGGCGAGCTCCGAGCCGGGATCTTCCGCGGTCATTGGGCTGCATAACATAATTTGTGCTCTGACGTGCTGCTTTTCCAGGCAGTTGCGCTCCCGGGCGCTACTCCGAGTTAAGTGCATCCAGGAGAATGGCAAAACCACTCTCTTCAGATGTCAGAATCCGTTTTCTCTACCAGCAGTCCAGCTCAAGCAAATTCTACACTGTTTATACACCAGCAGCACGTGTGCCAGCTCTGCTGGTCAAACCTCAGCTGTTTTACAGGTCTGGCAGACAAGGTTCAGCCTATTTCTTAACATAAAGAATAGAATAGAATAGAACAGAACAGAATAGAATAGAATAGAATAGAATAGAATAGAATAGAATAGAATAGAATAGATGAACTGTAAATAACAAGCTACCTTATTGTACTTAGAGTATTTTCCCAAAGATATTTTTTCTTTCAGAGAGACACGGAATACTCAAGTTGCCCCTTGGTAGGCATTTCCTCTCAGCCAAAGGAATAAAAGTCTGATGTGAAACTGCTTTCTAGGGTTTGTAGAAATAGAGGTAGTTACAAAGATGTGATTACACAGGACAGAGAACAGGAACTGTCCCAGCCCAGTGAGACCAGTATCCAAAGCAAAAGAAGCTGTATGCTGCTCCCAAGCACTGATGAGACAGCAGCATGTTCCCTCTGCCTCTCCCACAAAACACAAGAGGAAACAGAAAATCAGGACCAGGAGACTAAGACCCACAAATCTTACACAGAAAGATGTGCCACTTCCCAAGTGCACATGTACAGTGCTGCACCTCTGCTGAGGACAGATCTGCTTGGCTGATGTCAACCAATCCCAGCCAGAGCTGGTTTTATATATAAAAGGCTTTACTTAACCATTAATTAAATGACCACTATCTGAAAAGCTTGTATTATTATAAGCTGGTCACTCATTGGAGACAATAACTCTTCCAAAAGATGTTTGTGACAGCCTCAGTGAGCTGCTCAGGCTGCCTTCTCACCACCACTCCTCAGGAGCTGGGCACAATAGAACAAGCAGAACAGACAACCCACAGTGCTACTCTGCACACTGCTGCCACAGTCTGTTTCTTACATTAAATTGTCCAATTTTAGCTCTTCGGGCAATTCAACTGTCTCAGAGAAAGCTTTCCAGTGAGCCTGCTGGAGCTGCTAAGGTGGCAGTCACACCTGACCATTCAGAGAGAAGAAACATGTCCCACTCACAAGCGCTGTCAGGAAACCAGTCTCAAATAAAGGCCCAAGAAAATAGTGGAAAGTAGGACCGAGCAGTGTTCTTATAGGTTTGGGATGAGAACAGAGGGGTCAGTGGCATATGTCCCCCTGCTTGCTATGTTGCTCCAGCAGCTCCCAAGTCCCCCTCTCCCTTCCAGCACTGCTGGCCAGTGTGTAAGGGCATTCCCTCTTCTCCCACTCAAACACCAGCTCTTATTGTTGCACACCTATTACATCCTGTTCTCCTGTATTATAATCTGTATTTCATCAAAAATTATCAGCTTTATTTATGCTCCTTGATCTAATTCTTAATTTCTAGCAGGGTACCCTTACATATGTAGCTAGAGCTGCCATTGCCTTTGAAGATGAGGTTCATCCAGGAGAGCAGGGTATCTTCTCACCTCCTAAGCCAGGCTGCTGCAGGATGGGAATCTCCCTCCCAGTCAGCTCAAGCCCACCCTCCTCTGAGCTGCATTCTGTGTCTCGTGATCCAGAGGAGGTGGTCCAACCGTACTGGGCAGGCACACCCAAAATACCCACAAAGGGTCAGGGAAAAGCCCAGTGGAAGCTTTCTGTGTCAGGTGTCTCCCATGTTGCTGGTGTACCTTTCTCTGCTTCACAACACCTTTCTGATCTAGTTTTTTATTTAAAACATGCTCCAGTATGAGCTATTTAAGTAGCTCACCTATGTTTGGTTGTTACTGGAGAACAGGCTATAACAGATTTGGCAGTTTGGTACCTGCTCCTGCCAACTTCACCCTTGCTCAACAATCCTCAGCACTTCAACAGTAAAACAGGCAGCGGCACAGAAATGTCAGGATTTGGCACGCTGAATGTGGTTTTTATAAAAGGTACCTGTGAAATGATGCAATTTCTGAAGTGAAAAATAATGTTTTAAATAAAGCTATATGGATGGACCATGAATTCACGTAATAAAAAAGTAATCAAAAATACCTTTGCAAGAATACTCTTAAGATTATAACAAATTAGAAAACAGGCCTGGTGGGAATAAAAGATTATAAGAAGAAAAGAAAAAAAGTCAGCTAGGCATGCCAAAAAGTTTGGAAGCATTCAAAAAGAGGAATGATGCCTTTTTTTTTTTAAATACACAGCACAGCGTGCTTTCCTCCCTGCCCCTGCTCCTGAGAACAATCTTTCACTACCATGGCTTTAATGACTTTTTGAGCCTTTCTGGGGCAGGGGAATTGAAGTTACATGAGTGAGAAGTGATTTTTCAAAAACTATCCAGTGTGACCTCTGAGAAATCATGTTGATTTTCAGAGCATCTTGCCCCCTCGTATAACCAATCACATTAATGTTTAGGACAAGCATCTCTTTACAGTACAGTCTTTCTCCATACACCAGTTACATGTTTTCCCCTGAAGTGAAGGCTGCTGTGTTTATCTTCCATAGATAAAGCACAAAGCCACTGTGAATTTGACAGCTGACTGAAAAAAAAAATTGTGAAAAGGAAGAAAGAGCCTTTGATATGATTCCTATTACTCATACACATTCAACTAAAATCTTTTCCTAAGATGTGTATAACATCAAAATACAGAGTCCTCGTTCATACTGCTTGAATTACAGAGCTGAATTCATTCTCACATACCACGATGTTTAATAACAGGGCAATACTGCGTTTAAGTTCTCTCGGTAGAGTTGAAATCATTAAGGCATTTTACAGCTTCAGTACTGAAAACTGTATTCTTGTGTCCAATTATGACTCTGAATTCAGAGTTTTTAACCATATTCACAGCAGATTGCAAGTACAAGTTCCATTGTACTGAGACTGTGCCCATATTCATACCTGCAGACTACTATGAATTTACTTCTCTGCAAAATTCAAACCAGAGATGGAGTTGTCTATAAAAGATATAACTGTCATTTTTATTATCATCTCAAAAAGAAAACAGAGTTTCAGAGCTTTAGAAAGAACTTGCATTTTCAGGCAGTACTTTAGAATATGAGCCCTTCTAGCCTAGTGCATCAAGCAACGTAACAGACATTATAGTAAATTTGGTGCTGCTGGAAAAAACCAACAAACCCAAACCAAACCATTTAACTTCATTTCAGAAGTGAAAATAGAAGGCAAGTCATCATTTACAGAGCAATATCACATAGACAAAGTTTTGCAAACTGCTTTCCATTTTCTTCACAAATTTCCACAGTCTCTCTTGCATAGTGAGTCAGAAATCACTTCGTTCTTCTTGATGTTGCAGGGCTCATGAATGGATCATCCTGCAGTTTGCAAAGAGAAACACATTACTCAAATTAGCAAGCATTCCAAGTCATAAAAAAGCAAAGTCACCTTTAGATTAAACTAGAAAGCCTGGCCATACTATTCCATGTTTTCTGACAGACCTGTTTTTGTTGGTTTTGATAGGAAAGAGGCCATTTATTAATTTAAAAGTCCACGTGACATGTGTGCAGAGAATAGAAGCTTATGTGAGTATGACCAGGATAGCTACTTTGAAATAAGGAACAATTTATATTTCAGTTGTAAATGAGCAGCACATACCTCAGTTAAATTATGTCTACATACACATTGCACATCTTAATTTACTAATATTTGTATTTTGAAAAACAACTAATGTTTGTTTTTGCATATTCAAGCAAATATGTAGGCTTTTATTCCAGGTACAAGAAAAGGTAGCCCAGTGGGGAGAAGGGACAAGAACGCGGTATTTTCTCTGAAGTGGCCATCATCTGACACTGTTAAAAGAATGGATTCTGACCATGCATGACAGACTGTGAAAACAAACTGCATAGTGCTTGACAGAACAGTGTCTTCTATTCAGTGCAAAACCATGTAAAAAAGTTCTACTTGTTTAATTATGGAAGAAACCATTTCCTAGCAGTTCAAAGATACACTGCAAGAAGAGATATATTAGACTTGAAGACAGTGTTTTAAAATTTTTAAGAAGTGTGCTTGGATAATTTGCAATAATAGAATGCCCTGACAATGCCCAGCTGTTTCTAAATGCAAAAAAAAAAAAAAAAAAAAAAAAACCCCCCCCAAAAAAAAAAAA